AAGGAACAACAATGGCAAACACTCCAACATTAATATAACCTGTATAAAAGATCACTTTCAAGAGTCTGGGGAGCCTGAGGAGTAACTGAGTTGGAAGGTCACTGTAGACAGAGTAAACTGAACGCGCATGATAAATGCAACACTTCAAAGAAGCATCAGACCTGCTGCATACAAATGAACTGACTGCACTGCATGCAAGCAGCAGGTCAAGTAGTGGAGCAGAGTCATGGAAAGCTTTCTCCTCACCAAGAGGAGTGCTGTCCCTCACCCAGGAGGGATAAAACTATCGCTATTATCTGTAATTGTACTAGTTCACAATGGAACTCCCAGGATGACTGACACATTTCCAACTGTCAACATAATTTTCCCTGTCACAGCTATGTTTTTTATCCTTCAGCCTCCTGGGAAAACCCTGACACATTTAACTTGTAAACTGTGCTAGACATGACTTTTGCAACTAGAACACAGAGCTCATTTCTAGGACTTCACTAGAAAGCTTCTATCTGATAACTGATAAAAGAACATCTTGCACATGAACAGACATAGACAAAAAATGAATACGTACTAGGATGGATACACGTGAAATTTCAGAATAAAACCTCAATTTTTTAAAGGCTTTTGAACACCCACACCATTCTTCTATAGCTTTATAAAACATGTATTAGTCAAAGACCTGTAAAAACATTTTATTTGGAAAACTGAATCAGTGAGTCACTGTACACACTAGCAGCACTCAGCTCTGCCAGTGCCCACAGCCTGAACATTAAGCATGTTTACAAACATATCTGTTCTTTCTCAGGAAAAGAAAGCCTGAAAGTAAAACCACAAATGAAACCACCCTATACTAACAAAGAAAGTTCCACCACTTACATTTATAACACAAGCATCTTTAACTCTACCATCTGGAGTAACAAAACATCCTATTGGAAATCCTGGATTACAGTACTTTTGTCCATCTTCCACATCATAACACCACGTTACAGGCATGTTATCGATAATCCTAGACAGAAATCATCAAAGAACATGTCCTCAGAAAGGGGTGCACCTCACTTCACAGTGACATTTCACATTCATGTAATGCACACACTTTTCAGTAGTGCCTACAAGATGCACAGTAGAGAGACAACCATCACACAAAAGGAAGAAAGCAACCACTTAAAACATAGGTAACAAATATCCAAAAGCAGAAAATAAACCCAACCTCAAGCATATGTCTTGGCTTACCAGTGATGCTGATAATTCAATTGCATGCCTTTCTTCAAAAAAGCCAGTTTGCTTTTATCAGCACTGTTTCCTGGGTCATATGATCTTGTACAAACCTTCTTGCAAGTTTCTTGCTTTTTAAAAGTGAACTGTTAAAAAAAGCACACAAAAAAAAGTCACTTCAATTTTGCTTCAAAGATCTTTTAGCATTTTGGTTTTTTTTTAGGTAAAGTAGGGAGGGTTTTTTTAGCTACTTTAGCTCCTTACTACAAATTTCTGAAAGATAAATCCTGTGGACTGAAAATTGAAAATTAGTAGAGAAAGTACTGCTTTTTCTTTTACCAGTATGTTTTATTTTGATCATTTCATCATGGGCTAAAACAGACTTTCACTACACCATTCTTGAATGTTTCATGTTAACTTTAGCTGGTTTTCTTCATGACAATCAAGTTAGATAAGGCTGCCAAAAGCACAAGTTGTACAATATCTAAGCTTCAAGCACAGACATCACCTAACACACACACTCTCAAATTTGCATCTCCAACTTCTAACCCAGTTAATATTTACCTATTAGTGAGCTTAAAACATGACTGAAAATTCTAATATTATCAAGGTCCAAATGCTAACCAGGAACAGCACTTTCTAATTACTGTTGGGTACAGCCATTTCTAACAGCTGTTATAACACTTAATCTATTCAGCACATATCCAATCCAAATGACCCATTATGCTACATATTTAAAAGCTTCTTGTGACCACTAGTTGTAAGACTTAAAATTACATTAGCTCAGACAATCAAGAGATTTCTAAGAGCAGTTCATATAAGGGAGAGGGCATCACCTACTTAACAGACTAATGAAAAGATGTGATCAGGTCCCTTAAGACTGAGCAGCAGCAGACTCAGAAACCGCTGCCACTTTTTCTCACAGGGATTTGGATTATCTAGCAACCATCACACACACACAGCACAGTCTTCAGCTTCACTGGCAAATCCAAGTCTGGAAACTGTATTTGAACACCAAACAGCTCTCAAACACCAAGAGCCACTGTTTGACCACAGCTCCTCCACTGCTAGTACCTGTCCCAAGTTGATGGCACAGCTTTTTAGATATGCTACATTTAGTCATTGCTAATGCAGGGCATGATACAGAAAAATACCACATACCCAATCCACAAAATATTTCCATGCATTTATTTTACAAAAGGTTCCAAGTGATATGCATCAACACTGACAAATCTGGTTCCAGACAGCAGATGATAAGCATGTACAAGCAGAGAAAAGCTGCAAGAGAGCCATAACCTAATTCCTCCTTCCCACTCTGGAAGTTGCCCAATACTACAACCAAGTATATGAAACAGTTTCTGAGCTATCACTTTATAGTCTCCAATGTTACATTTAATAAACCAATTATTTCACATCATCTAACACACCTTACATCCAGCTAGTAAGTAACTACCTAAGATATCATTTCTGGACTTCTCTACCACAGAGCAACAGGAAAGAAGGGTGATCACTAGCCCAGTTTCTAACTGTAATTAACCAAGCTAAGATGCCTTTGGGTTGGGAGGAGTTTTATTGGGTTTTATTACACAAACTCCATAGTGGTTCTATTAAAAAATATAAACAAAAATAATCACCCAGTCATCAAATCTTCAGCTATGTCTATGGATTAGAGCCATCAGAAAAACGGTTATCAAATTTAAACAGGATCAACTTCAAGAGATAAAATAACCTTATATGGAGACGATGCTATTCTCTCCCCAAACAGCACTTGTCCAAGATTTTCTGATGGTCTTTTCTCTTCCTTGTCTTGACAGAAGTCAAAACTGGAAAAAAGTAGCAAATATTCCCTTTTAATTGACATATAACTGTAAATACCAGCCTAAAACAAATTCTTAAATTATGTCCTTAGTAGTTTTCATGATTTTTTAAACAGTTCAGCCACAGGCAGTTAAAAATCTGAGAGCCTTTGCAAAGAAAGCTGGTATCTATTTTAGTATCAATTTCAACCAATACATATTCCAGCATATCTTTAACAAAATGCACAATGGTTAGTTCACCCATCCTTTTCAAATGGCAATTTAAACAAACAGTAGAATGTTTCATTTTGTGGGAAAAAAGGCACTATGCTACAGATTTTTCATTTCTCCTGCAAAAAGTTTCTGAAAAACTACACTCCTTTCTTAAAGGAATATTTACAAATAGCATTTAACATGAGATACATTTCAAAGAAGGAAAGTGCTTTCAGTCTTACAGTACCACACTGTCAAACAGCATTCATCAATTCTTTTCAGCTATGTACAGCCTGAAACTGCTGAATATGGGAGAATGTAACCATTCTGGCTTTTTATTAAACACAGGTAGCAGCACGTTATGTTAAAAAACCCCAACACAACAACAAATAAATCCATACTTATCTTTGGTACATAAGTACTTTTCCTCAATGATCCTAAATTCACCAGCTTCCATAAAGTTTAACGGCAATAGAGACGGGGCATTTCTTAGCTACTCTTTGGTCTTACTTCTACTGCTGCACTGCCCAGGGAAAGAACCAAAACACCTGCAAGTTTTCTTTTCTGTGCCCAACAGCAAGACTGCAAATCATATTGTTTATCATTGCTTTGCAGGCCTATAAATATCTGCAAAAGCAGATAGAAGTTTTCATATAAAAGAAGCAAAATTAAACAAAACCAAAACCAACAAACCAAGAATTAGCTACAGAGCTTTGGAAAAAAAAAAAGAAAGTTAACAGTGACTGGTCTTCGAGTTTCTTTCAATTATCAGGAAAAAAAAGGAACTCAAAGCATCTTATGGCCTAGATTTGCCTAGCAGAAAGAACTTTCAAATATGTTAAACAGTCCATACTAAATCTTGTACTCAGCTCAAAAAAATGCACCCGTAAGAAACCCTGCAGCCTTTTTCTTAACAATAACTGAGGACGGTCAGGCGGCACAGGTGTGGCCTTCAGCCTTCCCACCCTCTTCTGCTTCATTCCTGCCACTGAGCCTCGGATTCACTCTTCCATCCCTACAGCCAAAATACTGACAGCCTTACAGTAAACAGAAAAGCGTCTTTTCAAACACTTCTGGAAAACTATTGGGATGTACTCACGCATCATATTCGTATGGCAGAACTGATTCAACAGAGTCCAGCCGGTTCACGAAGAGCTCAATTAGTGACTGAAACAGGAAAGGAGGAGAAAAAGCATGAAAATACGGACTTTCAGAAACAAACGTGTGGCTGGTACGAAACGCGAGGCTAACTAGTAAATTGTGGTACACCACGGTGAGTTACCCTTGGCCGCTGACAGGCCCCGGCCACGCCTGGAACAAGGAGCTGAGGGTCCTCCCAGCGCTGGCTGTAAAGTTCAGCGGGAAAAGGGAATACCAGCTAGAGGTGCCTGTCTTCCCGGAGCAGAGGCTGCCGCCCGCGGCAGGACACCCGTGAGCAGCGGGACTGGGAATACCCGCGGAGCCCCCTCGCCGCGAGAGCCCCTCGCGGGGCAGGGCGGGGGGGCGGCCCACGCCGGGCCCGCCCGCGCGGCTCTCACCTTGCAGCTCTCGGTCTCCTCGCTCTCCTCACAGAAGCTGACAGGCGCCAATCCGGGCAGGTAGAAGGCGGCGCCGAGAGGCGCCACCAGCAAGAGTGCGGCAAGCAGCAGCCTCATCTTGCAGCCTGGACGGTCAAAGGCACCATGAGGCGCAGCTGCAGCCCCGACCGCCCCGGGCAGCGCCTTGCGGAGGCGGCCCCAGCACGGTCGGAGGCGGGGGCAGCGCGTCACGGCCGGGTCGGGGCCACGGCGGCTGCGCGGTGCAGGGGAGGGGCGCGCCGGGCGCCATCTTGGAGGAGGGCGCGCTGAAGGGCAGGAGGCGCCGGGACGAGGGGCACGGCTTCCCGCTGCCGGAGGGCGGGCTGAGGTGGGAATTGCGGGGAAATTCCGCCTGGGAGCCTGGGTGCGCGGCCCTGGCCACGCTGCAGAGAGAGGCTGTGGATGCCCCACCGCTGCAATTGTTCAAGGCCAGATTGAACGGGGCATCCTGGTCTAGGGGAAGCCGTCCCTGCCCATGGCGAGCGGGGTCGGGGTAGTGAAATCAGGTGATTTTGAACGTCCCTTCCAGCCCAAACCATTCTAGGATTCTATGATACAAAAACCTCTTTTCAGGTTTTAGCCCCCAGCAAAAAGCACAGAATCAATGGAATCCTAAATAGGTGATTTGGGAGAAGCACATTAAGGAGTTCCAGTTTAGAAATGCTTGACAAAGTCCGTGCCAGAAACAGTTATTTTGTGCTGTTCTCATCTACTCTAGTCTGAGTTTTACAGAGGAAAATTCCTGAATTTCTATAAATATCTATCACTGCCAGTACCTAGAAAGTTGCTCCTTGTTATAAAACTATTACGCTGATTTTTCAGTTATTAGTTTTTGATTGCATATCTAGAGTGAATTACATTCCCTTTTTTATTAATTCTGAATGAATCTTTTGTGATCAGATTATTTATGTATTCATTAGTCCCCATCCCTCAGCTCTCCTAAACTCTTTATCCAGTTTAAAACCAAAGCATGATGAACTTGGTAAAAGGCCAATATGTTTGATGAAAATATGCAGCATGGTACAGGGGATATCCAACACACTTTGCATGAACAAGTTTACAGTGGAAATTCAACAACATTGTTAAACAACCAGGCATTCATTTAAGAGAGTGACATTGTAGTTGAAATGTTGTCTACTTCTCCCATCTACTAGGCTCAATTTTCAGGTTGTCAATGAAAAGGCAGAAAGAGATCAGCTTATATGTATGTGGGTTTGTAAGTAACATACTTAATTGCATTTCTTCTACTCTCAAAAGTGTGATAATGCAAGGGCAAGTATATCTATGCTAGTTAGGGAGTAATTGTCCTCTGTGTAAAGGTTGGTGAAGTTTCTCTGGTCTCTGTTTCCCCAACTGTCCCATCCAAGTTTGTTTAATATTCCATAGGGCCCAGACAGGACCTCCTATTACTACCTAATTTCCTACCAGAAAATCCAAAGTTGAAAGGTCTGCAAAAGAAAATGTCATAGCTCTTCAGCCTTGAACTTCTTACTGAAGAGAAATTAGTTTCAATTCAGACTGCAGTTTGTTCCCTGATGATTTCTGTAGTTTTTCTTCAAAAATTCAAAATTACAGGGGAAAAAAAAAAGAGGAGAGAAGAGAATTAGAAGAATTAAAGAACTATATGTCCTTTAATCCTCTAGGAAAAGATCTGACTGAATTTGGGCCAAGACCATACATACACTGTTTAGTGAGAGACTGTAAAATACTGTTCCAGTTTGCAAAGAAGATGCAACTAAGTTCTGATGAGAAGCCTCATGAAGACAGCTTCTAGAACAATGGGTGGAAGAATTTTTAGAACAATGGGCGGCCCTGATACAATTACAGCATTTATGTTCACATGCTGTTTCAAATGTCATTATGTTCATGCTAATGCTGCCTAACTACCTGTTCAGTACGTGTTAACAAAATGTTACTAAAATGAAGCCTGGAGTTATCAATTAAATATTTTACTCTTTAAATCAGAGGAGACAGAAAGAGGGCTTTTGTTTGCATTTGCTTATTTTTCCAGTTGTGTGGCCGTCAATAAATACACCATGGGTCAGAGAAGCACAATGACCCCACCTTGATGGAGGCCCTTTTTAGCATATTTCTTACAGGACTAACAATTTGCTTTAGTTTTCACTATCCATCCCAGGAAGGCTCTGAAGTTTAAATTCTTTTGTATTGAAACTGGAATTTGAAGCATTTCTTCATATGATAATTGGATGAGTATCTGGTAATGCCATTCTTTGGCAACTGCATTGATATCACAGGCAGTGCTGTCTCACCTCCTTATAAAGGTCATCTTTCCCTTTTCCCCTTCACAGTAACAGCATCCAGAAACTCTGAGCATCCACACTGGTAAGGTGACATCTTCAAGTACATAATGGAGTTTACAGTAGTATTTGTGTTCTTAACACATCTATAAGCTTCTCTGAGGCAATGTTGCCTTCTGCTTCCCACAGCACAAACAGCAGCTGAATACCAGTATCTGACAGACTGAAAAACTGAAGATAAGGAGAGTCCTTTGTTATCTTATCAGAATGTAGCAATTATGCAGCTGTACAACTGTAACCGCACTGGGCAGTGCCCTTAGAGTCCATAGACTCTGTGGCATCTCCCAAAAATGAAGGTCTGGAGAACTGCAAGCACAAACTGCAAGAGAGAACTTAAAAAACTGTATGGTGGTTAGACTGGGTGGCACTAAGAAAATAGGCCTTGGTAACTGATTAATATAAATTTAGATCATCTACAGGTGCAAATAATGAAACTTTAGCCAAGTTTTGCATGAGCAGATTTCCTCCTAACTTTTCCACTATCAGGTTTAGCCAGCCAAAGGAAAACACACTTGAACTTCAAGTACAAATAATTAACAAATCGAGTTAGTTGAACAAAAATAGCAAAACTTTTTGCCATCAACAACACATTTAATTTTAAATCACACTTGTTTTGGTTTGCTGTTATTCTCCAAGGGAAGGGTGCTGCCATGCACATCTATTAATCAAACTAATTAAAAATGCCTTTAAGGCTGCTTTAGCAAAGTGGGTTAAGCTCCTGCACAAACTCCAAAGTTAAACTGATACTACTGTGATTTTCCTTCCAAAGAAGTGATAGATCTGCTGCTTCACAAAATCAGTTAACATGACCTCTGGGAGATCATCCAGTCCAATCCCCCTGACAGGGCAGCATCACCTGGAACAGGTGACACAGGAACATCTCCAGAGAGGGAGACCCCATGACCTCACTAAGCAGCTGTTCCAGGGTTGTGCTACCCTCAGGGCAAAAGTCTTTCTCATACTGAGGCGGAACTTGTAGTATTTTAGTTCATGACCATTGCTCCTGTCACTGGGCACCACTGAAGAGACTCTGGCACCATCCCCTTGGCACCCGGCTTTGGGATGCTTATATGCATTGGTGAGATCCCCTCATTCTGCTCTCCTCTGGACTGAACAGCCCCAGCTTCCATATCTCTCCGTGTAAGAGGGATGCTCCAGACATCTAATCATCTTTGTGATGATCACTATCTTCAGTAGCTCCTTTCTCGTGCTGAGGAGTCCAGAAGTGGACACAGCACTACACATGGGGCCTCAATCCTTCGGGACGAGGCGCGGCCGGCAAACAAAGCTCTACCCCTCCGTTCCCAGGGCTCACTCCCGCTGTTTGCCCGGCGCTCGCGGTCCCCGGCCCGCTCCCCGCTCCTGGCAGGACGGGACTCTCCGGCCCCGGTGGCCCCGTCCCGTCTGGGCTCCGCCGTCCCTCGGCCGCGGCGGGAGCGTCGCACCGGCCCCGGGCGCCCCCTACCGGGCTCGGCGCTGCCGCCGCATCCGGGGCTCCGTCCGGCGGGTGACGTAAAGCTATAAAGGCCCGCAGCGCCTTTGTTCGCCCCCATTGCGCAGTTGCAGATCGGCGCGGGTGGAGGTGAGCGCTGCTGCGGGCTCGGGCTCTGCGGGCGGCACCGCGGGACGCTGCGAGGACCCGCGGCGAAAGGTCCGTGGGGTGGGGGTCGCGTGGCGCGCCGCTCCGCGGCGGAGCGGAGGCACGGCGGAGCCGGGCCCGGCCCCCAATCCCTCCCTGCCCGGCTCCGGTTAGGACGGCGGGACCCGCGCCGTTGCGGTGGTACGAGGAGGGTCCTGGCGGTGTGAGGCGCGGTGTCCGCCATTTTATGTGCGGGGTCTCTTCAGCATCCCGGGGGAGGGCGAAGGGGGCATGGCGGGCGCGCCTCTCCGATGTGTCCGGACGGGGTTGAGTCGCGCGGTGGGCGAGTGCCGAGGAGGCCGTCGGGCGCGGGGACGGAGCGGAGCCGCTGCCAGAGGTGGCCGCCATTTTGTGGCGGTGCCTGAGCCCGCGGAGGGTCCGAGGCCCCCCCCGCTCACCGTGCCCGGAGCGCGGCTGAAGCCGGGCCCCGTGCGGCCCGGCCCGGCCCCGCCGCGGCTCCCTCGGGGGCGCTTTGTCCGCGCTCCCGCGTGTGCCGGAGCTGGCGCGGGCCTTCCCGCCATCGCGCTGGAGACACGCGGGCAGCGCTTGTCCGCAGGCGCCGGGCGGCCTGCCAGGCACGGGAGGGGGGAGTTTGGCTTTGTCTTCGGCTCTTGGGCTTTTTGCTTTTTAAACCCTCCCGTCCCCGCGACTGTAGCTGTGACATTGTTGTGTAGAACTGCAGTGGTGGTCCGGTGTCAGTTCAAGTCTCACAGGTTGTGTAGGCCAGACTTCAGCATAGGCTCCATGTACTTTAACTAATACAAAGAATGAACTTAATTTAAAAATACTGATGTAAGATGCTCTGAAGAGATAACAGTTTTGTATTACTTTGACATATTAAGTAAATTAATTGAAACGTCTAGGATTTAAAGGAAAAGTGTGCTAGGATTGCCATCCAGGACAAAAGGAACAGCACTTCTGGAAGAGATTTCACGTTCACCAATATTGCTTCTTTTTAACAGTGCTTTGTTCCACTATTCAAAGTTCTATTTAATATCTTTTAAATATGCTATATAATGTGAAGAAGTAACTGTTCATACTACTTCCAGTTGCTTCCATTACAAAAAAATTGCAATTACTTAATGCTTTTTTATACCTCATATTTCCTACTTAATATCTTTCTACAGAAAATTTGCTTGTACGTTTGAGGACAGAAGTAATTTATATACCATGAAGTCTCTTATTGCAGTCTGAGGTTTTGTTAATAATGGCCTCATTCTTTTTAGTAGGTCATTCACAGAATCAAAATGGTTGAAGCAGATCGTCCTGGGAAGCTGTTCATTGGGGGCCTGAACACAGAGACTAATGAAAAAGCCCTTGAGGCTGTATTCGGCAAATATGGACGCATTGTGGAAGGTAAAGAGAACTTTTATTAAGATGGTAATAATATAAAACAATCAACAACATAGCTGTGATGACTTTTTGGCGTTGATCATCTGAAATGATGGCGCTTACATGTCCTCTAAGAAGTTCTGAGCTTAAAAGGTTAAATAAAGGTTAAGTGTTCCTTACAGGGAATTACAGGGAAGGCTGATGTGACTTTGTTTCTGCAGTCCTTTTGATGAAAGATCGGGAAACAAACAAGTCCAGAGGATTTGCATTCGTCACGTTTGAGAGTCCAGCAGATGCAAAAGATGCTGCCAGAGATATGAATGGAAAGGTAGGAATTAAGACCATTTATATGTTGCAGTTGCTACTGACCAGGACAATTAATCTTTGGGGTAAATCAACTGGTAATAAAAGTTGGAATGAGAATGGATTAGAAGATTGTGGAGACAAATTGTAACTTTAAGTTTGACAAAATGTCTCTGGCTCCATGAAGCTGAAATCTGTTCATTCTGTTCATGGATATGCTAATAGAAAATGAAGTCTGGCTGACAATCAGCTATCCTCTCTTCTCTTACTGTTCCGTAATCAGTGATTGAGGGTTTTTCAGCAATCAGCTCTTCATTCTTGCATGTTTCGATAATGATTTTTGGGTTGGATTTTCCTTTTTGATCATATTTGAATGCAGTACTGTGTAAATTACACTAAAGGGAAGTGACTTACCTGAAAATTAGTAACTGTTCCCTTAAAATGGTTTGACTGTGATTTCCCTTGAGTGCTGGAGCATTGATGAGCTATCTGGTATTCTGTGGATATTCTTCTACATTTGTGACTTGCATCATTGATCTGCTTGGTCTATGTGAGGGGCATCTTTCCAGTTAATGTGCAATGGCTTTGCAGTTAGCTGGCAACCGAATTTTTTAACTCACTGCCTAACATGCAGTGGTCTAGCTTTGAGAGCAATAAGAAGTGTAATCATTTTAAAAATAAAAATACAGGAATTTGCAGTGCAAATTCCAAGATAATACCGGGATAGTTTGTCAAAGAATTGTAGGCTGCTGTAATCTTTATCTGTTGTGGCATGTGTTTGAAAAGGTAGATGTAAGTTGGCAATTTTCTGGTGAACAACTGCTTATCTTTACAGAGGTGCTGTGAAAGGCACCTTTTCAGGCAGTGAAAGCCATCTTAGATCACTTGAATTGCAGACTCTGGTTTTCCCTGCATTATGTGAATGATTGTGTTTAGGTCACACTGCACTGGCCTTGGAAGCAGTGTCTCTTGAGATGTCATTCAAGTAAAGTGAAGAAACATCGAGTGATTGTGATTAATTGACACTTGGGATTTTGATATGTTTGTCTTGTTAGTTTAAGAAGTCGAAGTGAAAGAAAAATGTCAGTTACTGCAGTCAGTAAAACAACTTCAGGAATAAGAAAATGAGCTTTGTGTAGTGTTCATGAACACAAATAGTAAAACCTCTTGTATTTGTGTTATAACAGGCTATGTGTTATAGAAAGGTAGTGGGTTTTCTACTTCATGTACTGATGTTTCTGGGTGCTTCATGACAATCTTATCGCAATTAGGGTTACTCTCTTAGAAGACTTCCTCTCCTTTTAAGCAAGCTAGTAGTTTTGTCAAGGCAGAGAGTGGCAAATTCAGATGGCGTTCTTTCTATACCAGCCTAAAGATCTGTCAAGTTGCTCCTTTTATTTAATTTTATTTCTCCACTGTCTAGTTTGCCACAGTTCTGAAGACTTGTTTATGGCCGTGCTTAAATAATTTATTTTCTCTGAAGCGGTCATTGAACCCTCACATAAGGAAATTTCAAGGACCAATAGGTAATTGTCAGACTGAAAGGAACTCGGTCACTAATGCGCATGTTTGTGGAGTGCAGCTTGCAAATCAAAATCCCTCTGAAAATAATAACCAACTGTTCTACATCTTGAATCTTGAGGCCTGTGTTTGGTCACATTGGAAACATTTGGGAGAGTACTGCTTGGTGAAGTAGCTAAATGAGACAGTGTTTGTGGCCGAGGCTGTGTCTGCTTGTTCTGGAATGCACAATCTGCATTACTGGCAAGAAATGCTAGAAAGGACGGCCTTGTGGATCATCGTTCTCATGGGTTTGTCTTCACTATAGAACTAGAAGTACCTTCATCAGCTTTGAAATTAGAGCTGCAAGTAGTATATGAAAAGAACACCCTCACATGGGACTTGGCCTAGAATGTCCTCTGGTCCAACTCGCATTGACCATGGATATGAAAGATATTAATGAGGTGGTCTCTCATTCTTATCTTCAGAAAGCCTTCTGGACAACAGGTACTAGTTGTATTCCCAAAAGACTCTGCATTCAAGGTCTAAGGAAGAGCAGTGTTTGAGGCCTGGTGTGAGAAGAGGCAATTGTCATAAATCACAACTTGAAGGTCTCTTTGTTTGTTTGGAAAAGATGGATTGGAGCATTCTCGAGATTTTAATGCACCTGAGAAGCAGCAGCAGAAGCACTGTTCAGCAGACTGCAGTTCAAGCAGTCTAGGGAGTTAGGTGATCTCTCTGGCCGGGGCAAGAGTTCTGCATTGCCTGTCTGTTGCTCATTCTGTCATCCTAAAGGAATTTGAAGTTGTGGCCAGTAGAAGAGGCTGACTCCAATAGATTCTGCAAGAATGAATTGGCATTTAATTTTTTATTTTGCAAATGTTTTATGAAAATATATGGAGAGTTTTTCACCAGTTTGGGTGAGGGGTAATATGTGAGCAACTGTATTTCGCTATATTGGGACAAGCATAGACCAATCAAAGCTTGCTTGTTGGAAGATAAGTTGGTCCTGCAGAAAGAGATCACAAGATAATTATTTTAGAGTTGGGATGGAGATTTCTCACTTCAGTTACTTTGTCTTGTAGATTAAATCAGTGCTATCATGTCTGAGCAGTGCAAAAGAAATGTAGAAGTACTTTATAGCAGCTTACCAGCCTTCCTTAAGAAGAATCTTAAGTCATGGTTGTCAAGTCTACATCCTGATGCCACAAAACGCTTACCTGGACATAAATGTGGATACTCCCCAGTCTGTAATGGTTGTTGGTACAGTGGACTGTTCTCATGACCTTCTGATTCTACATCCGTAAGATGAAATGGATAATTAAAGAGAGGATATGACCTTAGGCAAAGGGTCAGGACAAACCAAAGATTTAATTCCAGTGTAGACCTGCCAAGCCAGCTGGTCTGTGTTAAGAGGACGGAAGCAGATGCTACAATCCCTACAAGCATAAACCGTACTCAGCACTACAGAAGGTTGTCTAATTGACAGAAAGTACTTCCTTTTCTTTGGGGAAGAAGTGATACAATGTACAGAAGCTTGGCCTCTTGAGGAATGGATCTTCATTTCTTGGATATATATGGCAAAAGGAAACTCACTTAATGTGCCATCAAGGAACGTGGAGAAATGGAGTCATTGCAGCATCAACAGCGAAGTGATTCATTGAAGAGGAAAGCTCTGTGTGGTGCTAAGACCAGCTTCATGCAAGTTATTGTAACAGTTCCTTTGAAATACTTGATTTCTTGCCCCGTTCCCAAAATTATGCAAATTTCATTCATCTTCTCGGTTGAAATGTGGAACAGTTTGCAGGATAGCTCTCTTAACTGTGTTTGGTTAAAGTTCCCTGTCTCACTTTGCAAATCTGTACAGATTATTCATTCCACACATAGGAGACTGATTGCCAAACTATTACTGTCCTAAATTACTTGTAGCTTAAATTATTTTCATGCTTTTTAGCACCAGGGTGACTTGCCTTTCTGGTGCTCATATCGTATTAAAAATGCTTTTATAACACTCTGAATCAAGGATATAAAAAAAACAGCTAATGAGTGTTCATGTTGACAGCTTGTGCTTTGAGCTCATTGAAAAAACTTCCTTATTCTGAGATGGGTTGTGTGACTTTTATGTTTGGTGAGGTAAGACCTTTCTTTGAGCTAAGAAACCATAAAATGTCCCCTCTGCTTTGAAATAGGACTAACTTTGACAAATATTTTCTGGTTAGCAAAAAATGTGTTCTTGTACCTAGTGAAAGGTCTTTCTGGATCTATGGAATAGCTTTTAAAGACTACTTTTGTAAAGCAGTCTGCAAAGAAACAATCTTTTGCCAAGGTAAGATGCTTAAGTGCAAGGCAGAAGAAAATAGGAGGAGAAATTGCAAGGAAAACTGTACCTCCTACCTAACAAAAAAGAAAGATTTTAAACCTAGCATCCAGGTTTTCAGAACCCATGCTAGCAGAAGGGGACAGTGTTTCCTTTCTAAACTTAAAACAAGCTGTCAAGAATCTGTCGTGAAATTGGGGACAGCAGTGGCCATAGCAAAGCTTAAGGCTTGAAGCCCTCTGTTCCTGCTTGAGAAGGATGAAACTGAGAGATTAATTACAATAGCAAATCAATGTGATACAAACTGAGACGTTCCAGTCATTAGAGTGGATATTTCAGTTTGTCATGCCAAAAGCCTTTTTGAGAAACCTTCCATAAGTAAAATATAGCACTAAGTCAAAGCTAAGACCAATATGATTTTGCTGGTATTTCTTACTTCTTTCCCCTCACAATGGATCCAGTTGAACCTGTGTGTGTACACACAGGTTTTCATACAATCACTACAGCTCTGAGCTGACAAAATACATTCACCACTACAGTGAATTTTCAGAGAGCTAGATTTTGACAGAGAACAAAAAATATTCAGTACTTTGATAAAATACTATAAGCAGTGTAGATAAAGACATTACTAGCAGTCTAGCAGTCAATGTTTGTTCATTTATTGCAGCAAAGAAGTGCAATGAACAACACCTTCTGCCTGACAATTAATTAGTTGTCATGGCAGAGTTAAATATTTAACTGCTAAAAAAGGCAAATAAACAATGTTTGCCAGAATAAGCATGCAATAACCTAATTTTAGCAGAACTTGTGATGTTGATTCTGCTATAATATCCAAACATGTGGCATCTAAAAATCGTACAAAAATTTGATTAACTAGGTTGAGTTACTCAGCATGTTAGTACCTGCTCATGTTTGAGATATATTAGTTGCAGAGTTTCTGTTATTGCAGATCTATATTCCAGCAAAAGCTTCTACTTTTTTCATACCACAAAAAAGTAATACAACCACACAACAGAACCCACAAACAAAAAGTACCCCAACCACAAAGCACCTTCCCTATGGAAAAGCAAGTAATAGAGTAAATTGTGGCAGTCACCTTGATTGAAAACCCAGCTTGAAACACTAGAAAAAAGGGGTGAATTGTCATACTCAGTCTGCTGTGTAGCTGCTGTAATAGCTTCTAAATACTTCAGCGATCACCGTTTTATCAGGACGTCAAGAAAATGTGCTGAACGGCCTCCCCATTGCCAGAAATCCCGACTGAAGCTAAGTTACGTTCAGCTTAATCGTGTAACTACAGGTGCACTCCTAGTTCGGTACCAAAGTACGTGGCAATTGAAAGTAAATTGTAGATCACATGTCATGTTTCATTTACAGAATAAGTGACGTGGGGCTGCCATAATCATTGGACACTTGTGTATTCACTGAAAGTCCTTTCTGATGCTGCTCTGTAGTTTTTTTGCCATCAATTCCACAAGAATGAAGTACTGTAGAAATTGAAATTAGGCCCAACATGCTGCTGAGTACTTGGGGACTAATACTGAAGACTGAAATCAGTTCTAGAGTTGCTCTAACTTATAAAATGGAAGCCCTATAAATAGTGAAGCAAGAGGGGCTTGATTTAAGAAATACAAACATGACTGAGCAGTAAGTAAAGCAGCTTCTTCTTTAGTCATTAGATGGGAAGGCAATTAAAGTGGAACAAGCAACCAAGCCATCCTTTGAAAGTGGTGGTAGGCGTGGGCCACCACCCCCTCCCCGAAGCAGAGGTCCTCCCAGGGGCCTTAGAGGCGCAAGAGGCGGAAGTGGCGCGAGAGGACCACCTTCAAGAGGGAGTCACTTGGGTATGTATTGACCTCTCTCATTATACACTTCGACAACACAAGACAATCCCATTGGAAGATGACAATAATCCTACTGGAAAAAAAAAAAAAGTCAAACACCTGAATAGTGCACTCCTTGTCTATATTAAAATGATGAAATACGATCTCAGCAGTTTAGTCAAATTTTTGATTAGGCAAGTACACCTTAAGAAATGTGAAGATTCCTTTCTACAACTAACACTCCACTTGACTTTTGCCTATGAAAGAAAAGCAGAACTCCTGCCTTGCACGTGAGAAAGGAAGCTTTCTGGTATTCAAGTTGAAAAAGTGATTCGCTACCACCAGGGAAAGGGAAACCTGCCTTTCATTCTTTATAGCAAGAGGTCTAAACTGAGAAAATTGTAGGGCTGATCCTTCCAGATCAGACTGAGAGTTAGGGCAGCTAAACCTTTTTTGTTGAGTTGAAGCTTTCTAAAGTGTAAGGATAGTGCGTTACTTGATACTGGATATTCATTAAGATACGGCTATTTATTCAGACTTTTCAGTATCAAAACAAAACTCACTTAACTAGTAAACAGTACCTGAGGTGTAACAGTAAAAGCTGTAATGCAGAAAAAAAAAGCCCTGGAAATAGTGAAACTTCTGTCTTGAAGAGTCTGTATAGTAGGTTCTGCAGACTCGGTAGTAGTACCTCTGTTCCCTCTCTGTAGGCTCTTCTCTAGTACATCCTCCCAGGTGGCTCTTGTCTTCTGAGAACAGTAGCTTGTTAAGTATTTAAGCTGTGACTGATTGCAGGTATCAGCTGTCTTTTTCCCTTGTGTCACACCCTGTAGCTTTTGGATAAGTTCTAAAAGACACTTCTTGACAGGAATTTAGGCTGTGGGAAGTTTGGCTCTCAGTTCTGCTAGGAGCATTTAATAGTGGCTGGAAGGCAAGAGAAGGCTTTGAGGTCTAGTTTTAGAGGTTTACTGTTGATCATGTAGTGGCAATAACGGCACCTTTAGGTTGTCGTAGTTCAGGCTTTAAAAAAATGCAGATGAGTATCACAGAAAAAGTAACTTGTTCATGGCTTCTCCTTCTAGGGTCTTCTCGAGGGCCACTTCCCATGAAGAGGGGTCCACCTCCACGAAGTGGAGGCCCTCCACCTAAAAGGTCTGCACCTTCAGGACCAGTGCGTAGCAGTAGCATGGGAGGAAGAGGTAAGGACTTCCTAACGAAATTAATTGCTTGGTCATCTCTAGCACCTTAGCCTTTCCTTAGGAACTGGTGCAAATCATAGATTCTAGCTTCAGTCTGCTGTGGAATAGTGTGCTGTTTTTCTAACTTTTGTTTCCTTTCATACCAGTGTAATTTTGTATCTGTTGGGAGCAATTTGGTGCAATTTGAGTATGTTTCTTCTAGTGCTGCTTTAAAACTGTACAAGCAGAAATGTAAAGTGTTCTAAATGTAGGCTCCAGTGATACTGTTAAATTGCTTTAAGCTACTTACTAGCACTTGGCTTGAATGTCCTGCATGGCTAAATGCTAATTAAATGGACTGTTTCTCTGAAGCTCCTGTGTCACGTGGAAGAGATGGCTACGGTGGTCCTCCGCGCAGAGAGCCGATGCCATCACGGAGAGATGTCTACATGTCTCCAAGAGATGATGGCTATAGCACTAAAGACGGGTAAATTCTTCTACTGTTTTATTTTAGTGAAGTGGTTTTTGTTTGGAGAAGGATCTTGATTCCAGACCTTCTGTGGTAGGACATATGGCTAACATCTCAGTTTTTGTTCTTCGTAGTTATTCAAGCAGAGATTATCCCAGTTCCAGGGATACCCGGGACTACGCACCACCTCCCCGCGACTACGCATATCGTGATTATGGTCATTCCAGTTCACGTGATGAATACCCCTCCAGGGGATATAGGTACCTACTGTTGGAGTTTTCTCCCTGACACTTTATTCTTGCTGTGGTGTTAGTGATTTGTACTAAGTCTTAGTAGTCTTTCCTCCTATAGTGATCGTGATGGATACGGTGGTGGGCGTGACAGGGACTACTCGGATCATCCAAGTGGAGGCTCCTACAGAGATTCATATGAGAGTTACGGTAAGAATCCATTTTGAGGATCATATAAATGTACAGACGTCATAACATCTGACTTTGACTAGGTTGCTTGTGTTTTAGGGGGAAGTGGCACAATTTTTTTCCCCTACAGTGAAAGTGCAGTTATTGGTTATCGTTTGATCGTCTTGTTAATAAGCTATAAGCTAAAGAAGCAAAGTCTACAGTTCAGAATGACAGCTGTCTCTGGAAAATATGGCTGAGTTTCTTCTCTAAAATAACAAGCTGTACTGGAATACCCAGTTAAAGAGCCTGCCTGAATAAACAAACACCGTCTTCATTCCTTCAGAATCTTTAAATCCACTCACTGCCTGATACACAATCCCCACTTAAAATACCATTAGTGTGGCAGATTATATTAAGACCATCTCAATACATATAAAAAGAGTAGCAGTAAACATTTTAATACAGCAATTCTGTAAATTCAGATTTGAAATTGTTCTTATATAACTTATGGTGTTGCCATATTACCTGACCATTGACCCTGCAGGTAACTCACGTAGTGCTCCACCTGCTCGAGGGCCCCCGCCATCATATGGTGGAAGCAGTCGCTATGATGATTACGGCAGCACACGAGATGGATATGGAAGCCGAGAAAGTTACTCAAGCAGCAGAAGTGATGTCTACTCAAGTGGCCGTGATCGTGTTGGAAGACAAGACAGGGGTCTTCCCCCATCCATGGAAAGGGGCTATCCACCTCCTCGGGATTCTTACAGTAGTTCAAGCCGCGGGGCACCCAGAGGTGGTGGCCGTGGTGGAAGCAGATCCGATAGAGGTGGAGGCAGAAGCAGATACTAAAAACACTCTTAAACTTTTGGACCAAGACAGATTATTTCTCAAATGTGGAAGCTGTTCTATCTTTAATACCAGAGGACTACTAAAAGGAAAAGTTGTTTTTAACCTTTTTTTATTGTTGCCTGTTAAGTTTTCCCCTCCATGATTTTTATGCTTTTGTGACAAAAAGTTGAAACAATGTTTAATATCATTTCAAAATTGTTAACATTTCTTTCAGAAAGCAGATGTTAAATGTATAAGCTTGAGCTGTGTACTAGTGTTGTAATTTTCAAAGTAAAGTTTCCCTGAAATGCCACACTTCCATCTGATTTTCGTCATGAATGGAACAAGCTGTTCTTAAGATCTTCCTCACAACATCCAACCATCTAACATGGAGATGGATTGCTCTACATGTTCAGCATCTAATTCTGAAAGTATTGCTTATGATTTGGAGGGTGGTGGGGATGATTCCACATAAAGCTCAGTTGTGCTAGAATTTGAAGTCCCAGTATTCCCAGTACAAAATGCCTTCAGATCCTTGTGTAAAGAAAAATAGAGGATTTCATTCACTTAAGCCGAAAAAGCAAGTGGATAATACTATATTCTGCCTTCCTACTGTTTCATGGGGAGTTTAAAAAGATCTCCCCTGCAAAAAAATCATATTCATGTAAGTCAGCTACAAAATACTGTTAAAAAACCAACAATCCGCAAACCATTGACCAATTCCATCAAAGAAGCTGCAAATCGATGCTTACTCACACTGTTTCAAATTTTTGCAACTCTGTAGTGTTTCACTTTTAAAGGAACATCTTTGATTCCAAAGGAGAAAATAAGATAAGCAAAGAAGTCTTTCTCTTCAACTTCTGAAAGGCTTATGGCTTCCTAAAATAAGTGAATCTTTCAGCATTCCACAGCTGATTAAGAGCATCAAATGCCTGTGAAACAGCAAAGATGGTAAGCAAAGCAAACTAGTTTTTCAGTCTAAGTCAAAATTGAAACAAGTTACCTTCTAGTACAGTGAGACAAGCTGCATGTCATGGCAATGGAAGTGCTGTCTAGATTAAAGAAAAAAAGGAAAATAAATTCCCCAATACATTAGAAGTTCTGCAAATTCAACAATCCTTGGATAAAAGCATTTACGGCACCGGTTTTGAAACTAAAGCTGTAATGCAGCTCACTGTAGACGCAGTATTGCCATGTAGGGTGGGGAGGGGGTATTTTGTGAGCAGTATCTCTCAGTGAAGATGCTTAAAGAGGCTGCATATGCAGCGTATTAACAAAACTTAAGCCTTGTGAAATCAGGAATTGGTTTAGAGTGAGAAATATCAGCACAGCTCTTGGGAGTTGGAAGCAAGAAATGCAGACTTGATGTTTAGTTGGATGCCTAACTGTTTAGTTTGACACTGCGTTGTAAGGATACCTAGGGATGCATGTGGCAGTGCCTCTGGCAAGTTGTTAAAACTTGGGTGAAGCCATGAAGTTCAAAAGATACTCGTGAATATAGTAAACATGAAGACCTCCAACTAAAAAAAAAACCAAACCACAAACCCAAAACCTTTGTACTACTGTTTAGTCCTCAGTAAATTTTGTCGTTCAACTTATGGATTTAACATGGCAGTGCACCACTGAAAAGGAATGAGAATCCATAAGCCATGCAACCTTTCTCTAAGCCATTCCAGTCCATTCCAAGCCAGTGAATCCTCCACTATTTAAAGAAGTAGTAAAAGCTTGCAACCGAATAATCTGCAAACCAAACTTGTGCCATTGTTTTGAAATGGGGGCGATTACTGAAGGTAAGCTTGTGCTGTAAAACATATTTTTCTCAATTTGTTGTGTCTTCTCTTAATTGCAGGGGGATAACTTCTGAAAGATACTGCTGAAAATAGTGCTGGTTCATCTGTTGACGGCAGACGTGGTGCCTGTGCCAATACATGAGGTAAATATTACAGCAGTGTTAATAGCTGCAGGAAGTTCCCTGGTCATTGTGTTCGTAGGTTTGAATGGATGTTCTTCCTGGCTAAGCGTTGTTTTTGACTTCTGTTTAAATTTTGGAGGAGGAGGCTTAAGAAGGCTTTGTAAACCAACCAGCTTAGGAATGGTAGCAAGACACTACTTGTCTGCAAAAACAGGGCCAGTTTGGGTGCAGCTAAAGAAAAACATGTTTACAACTGCTCTTCAAGCCATGTGGCAGAAAGTGCTGAATATGAGTTTTCATAAGAGCAGACCATAAAAATCAGAGTTGTAATAATAAATGTTATTACATTTAATCAGTCTCATTAAATGTGTAGGATTAGCAATTAGAGTGAGTATAATCTTGGATTAGGAATTGATCTCTGCAGAGGTCCTGGGATTAATTAAGCTCCAGACTTCAGGTACCTCCAGAATGGTTTAAGACTGTAAAACAGCTGTGTTTCATGGCTCTAAAGCCTACCCTATTAAAATAATTTTTCAAGAAAATTCAAGAGCAGCTGGTTTTGGGTTTTATGTGAAAGTGTGACTTGCTCCTCTTTCTCTGAAAACAGAAGAAAAAAGTGGTAGTGGCTGACATGCTAATCTAGCTTTCTGGAAAATAAAATTTCTCTTCTAAATAATTGCTAGTAAAACAAAAAAAAAATGGAAGTAACTTAGAGTGTGTGCAGAATTTGATATAATCTAGTACAGAGTAAAGGAAAAGGACAGCTATCTTTTCCAAGAGAAGCATGTGTGTAAAGAAGTATGTGTACTCTCTTATGTAATTTTTTATTGAGTCTGTAACTGTAAGAACGTATTTTGCTGTTAGTTTCAAATTCTACTTTCAAGAACCAACTTCAAAATGGTAAAAAAGAAAAATCTGTAGTTTGTGTGTTTGTTTTATCTGACAGCTGGTCACTGTTACCAGGGAGATGCTGTCCTGTGGGAAGGATAGGTTCTGTTGTATACTGTGTGATGTTTGTAGCCTCAGTTGGGTTAACAATTCATTCTCATGGAGTGTCAGTAACAGCAACTCAGTAACTGTGCAATGCCCTTGTCAGAATATGCTAGTAATGTTTTATAAATACTCCTGATAAATTGCTGCTGTTACCTCGATAATAAAGGAAAAATATGCTTTGTTTCAGGGTACTGGAATGTGTTTCAGATAAAATGCAGAATCATCATCAGTGTTTTCTGTTTGGGGGATGCATGTAGTTAAGCAAAACAGAAGCTACTGCCCTACCAGCTTTTTATTTGTCTGATGCTTGATAAAACTTAAACCAGCAAATGCTGTCCTTGTCTTCGTTTTCCTTTTAAGATGTGACTGTTGAAATATTTAAATTAGAGTCTTACTGAAAGGACACTTCATAATAGGTGTTTCTGAAGGTTAAGAAAATTGAACCTTTTTCAGTCAAAAATCACTAGTCACTAGTATGCCACTAAAGTGGATTAGGGAAATAGGTCTAAAAGTAGTATTTCCCCTTCATTTCCCCACCCACCTGCAAAAAACCACCAGGAGTCAGTTTTTAAATGTATAGTTTGATCCAGATGTAGGTCTTAAATTCTCTAATGAAGAGATGAAATGCTGTCTTTAATGCAGCATTCTAGGAGACTTCAAAAGATACTGACAAATCCTCATATAGGTTGTGTCAGAATGTTTTAAACTTCATGTGTGTGCACCTCAGTTTTCTCTGTTAGCTGGGAAGCTGAAATTTAATTATTCTTGACAAGTGAAAAAGCTTCCCTTTAAAAAAAAAATAGGTGCTTTTTTTTCAGTTTAGTAAATCTGTTGTGACCATGTTGTAATAAATACAGGTGTTAGAGAGAAGAGCACACTGTATCAGCCTTCTCTTCAGCTTCTAAACAGGCATGGTACCAATATTAAGGGAGCAGTAAATAGATCTTAACCTGTGGCAAGGAAGGTCATAATAGCCTTGTGGAAAATCAGGGTGCAAATGGAATTGCCAGGTGTATACCTTCCTTGATTACAAGTTTTATTTTATTTATAGCACATTATTACTTACAGATTAATACCAGTATGTATAGCAGTGTATTACAGAACTCCTGGGTAGCATGCTGAGATTATCAAGAGCTGGTGGAATTTCGTGGTGAGTAGAATTTGAAGGGGGAATTCACCCAGGAATTGCGGTACTTAGTACCTGCCCTGGAGACGGCGTTGCACAAGCAGTGTGCATTAATACAAGTTGTCCTCGGGGCATTTTGATTATTGTAGTTAGCTATTGATGTGCTTTCCTACTGCTGGAACAGATCAAATACAATCCAAATGTATTAACTTTATATATAAAATGAACTCAGAGATAATCTAGCATTTTTGTCTCTTGGCTTCTGAGAGGGTACTAACTTGCATTTCCTTTTTCCAGTTACGGTGCCTAGAAGGTGGCCATGCAGCAGTGGATGTGCATTGGAAAATCAAGGCATAACAAATCACAACTGATACAGCCTGCCTTTTGGGTGTAGTGTTGCCCACCGTTTCTAGAGGAATGTGTAAGCATTCAGGAGTTGCCTTTGAAAGTAGCACTACGGATCTCTTGGACATAGATAAAATTTCTGGTGGGAGCCAGCCGCTGTCTGCCATAGCTCACACCGTCCAGCAGCTATGAGTGAGCTGCTTCGTTGCACACACGTTCTGCAGTGGTGAAATACTTTGTTTGCCTTTTACGTGTGCTTGCTCTTTTTGCTGATGAAAAGAGCAAGTTACACAGAAGCGAGTCTTAGTCCACCTGAATACAGAGGACTTCACCAAGGATCCACGGAAAGTTCTGCTATATTACATTTACAGTTTTGTCCTAACCTTCTGGATGAGAGGATGGGAGTGTTGGTGTATTGAGACAATGTTAGTGATGAATGGCCAGAATAATTGGTGTTCCTCTATGTACACTGGACAGTGTAGTACATCTCTTGGGAGTAGGTGCTTTGTTCAAAACTTTGTCTTGATTTTCATGCATTTTTCTCTTACATACATGTTGATGGGCCTGTGTATGTGAGAGGAATCATCAGGCATTGGTACTTCATGTAGAAAACTCATAAACAATCATGGATAATAAAATTTATACTGACTTCTGTGATAGACGTAAACTGATCTCATTTAAACAATGCTCAGTTCATAATGAGTAGCTAAAGAAGAAAAAGCATGCATACCTTGCCTAGAGATTTAAAACTCTACATTTGCGGTGAGGATATCACTTTAAACTCAGTTACGGGCTGCAGATTCTAGAGTAAATCTGTGTAGCAGATTGGTAGAATTGCAATATTTCCCAGGCCAAATAAATTTACTGTTATCAAGAATTATGGATTTGGGGTTTTATTGTCTAATTCAAAAGAAAAACATATTCTGGGAGACACTTGGATGCTGGTCAAGATTAGTAGTGTTACATCTTGGAAGGTTATTGTTACAAAGTGATCTCAGTATCTCCTCTGCAAGGAGGAGTAACATTCTGTCTTCTTGGACTCCTTTTTCAGCATTAACTTAGAGTGTTGAGCGCTGCTGTTCAGGCTGAACTGGATCATCCTTGCTCAAGTGTAATGCCCAAAATGGCAGCTACTGTATGATCAGTGCCTGCCTAAAATCCTAATTAATGCGAATATACCCTGATCTACAGTATTAGCTCATGCACAGAATCAAACTTTGTCATGGAAAGCTGCCAGTTGAAATGTATCAGTAGATTCTGCAGCAGACAAATACTCCAGTGCTGTTCTTTGTGGTTGAGTATTTTTCCTCTGCTGGAAAAAAATAGTGAATTACCTAAGCATGTGTGACTTCTAGAAGAACCACTCAAAAATTGTTTCTGAATATGTGACTGCTCATCTTACCTTGCTCCTGTTGCTGTGCTGTTCTGATGTCTATGCTGCCAGAGTCACTTGGTTGCTGGGTAAAGGAAAGTCACCCCCTTTTAAAATAACGCTATGCTATTTACTCATCACTGGTATAAATCAGGCTGTAAATAAGTTTCTTTTAACTAAGTTGACTCTGCAAGAGATGATCTGTGATTCACTTGATTTGTTGCTGTCAGCAAACAGACAAAGGTGAAGCCTTTCCAAAGACCAGACCAGACAATGTTCCTTCCTTAGTGGCTCTACCTTCATACCTTGGGTTTGCCGCAGAATTAATTTTGGTGTGGAAGTGGGTAAACAAGCTGGAATGTGTTTAGAAAGTTCTCTAAAGGATGTGAGGTTGGGATTGAAGTGGCTAATCAAAAACTCCATAAATTTTTGGACTTACATCTGCAGGTCTTACCAAAGCAATTGGTAAGTGTTCAAGATGTGGGAAGTATTTTCATTTAATTGTAGTTGCAGACATTAATATCTGCTTGGCTGCAGTAGCTGCATGTGAAATAATCATAAAACTAAACCAGTCCATCTGTACCAAAGGTTTCCTTTAGAGGAGGAGTGGTGAAGTACTTTGGTGTTGAGGTTTGTAACACTGACTTCAGTGAAGCAGGTGTGCAATTCTCCCAGTGTTGAAAGTATTTCTCTTTACATCAGAAACTGCTGTGTTCTGATGAGGTGACTGAGCTGTCTTCTATATCCAAATGCATGTCCCCATTGATAAATGAGCGTTAGTAGTTGTCTTGGCTATCTACAGATTTAAAAAAAAATTCTGAAATTGTGGATACTGTATGTATTTCCTTTTGCAAAGCAGTAGTGCTCATGACAACTGGGAAAAAACCCCAAAACAACTGAATTGACAATTAATCATAATTTCGAAATATTTTCCACACATGTTTGTGCCTCACCAAAGAGCAGTGAGCTGTGATTGAGCTGTAGCCCACTTTATTCACAGTGCCTGCAGCCGTGTGTTATGAGTATTTCCACACTGCAAAGACCTGGAACTCATCCCAAAGTCCTGAAAAAGTCAGAATTGTGTCTAACCCTGAAGGGACAGTTCTTACTTACTGGTGGCTCTTAAAATTGGTCCATAGGTAGGTCCCAGTACCAGTCATTAGACTTGCAAAGTGGAGGCACAACCATGCACACTTACTGTGTACAATTTATTGCTCTGCTGCTCTGTTTTTCCCAATCCTTTAAATCACTAGTTTGGTAACACTGGGTTCTTGAAAGCTGCTTTAAGTAACAGGGTAGGAATTGGCTCAGAAGACTGTAGCCAAGAAATTCTGGTCTCTAGGATACTTTGTTCCTGTTGGATTCTTCAAGCCATGATGTTCCAGCTTCATCCTCAACAGAATTGCTTCATTTTCCATCTGTTCTGGTGAAAGGACAGTTATAAAGATGACTGGACTTTTCTGACTTGCTGTGATAAGTAGTGATGGTTAATACTGCCCTGGGCAGGGTGGAAAAATACCTTCAGTGGATCCTGAACTGGTGGTAGAAAGGGACATCTTAAAAAGACAAGCAAAATAGTTGGGAATTTTATTCTCAGCTTTGGATGACTTAAATTTCTGACCTTTTTGAAGTTATCCAGATAATTGTTTTGAGAGATTTATCATCTTCTAAATAATCATTTTGGATTATATATGGACTTCTGCACAGCAGTTGAAGAGATTATTCGTGCGTAAAGTGCATGATAGGAATTTATTTTCAAAAATCAGACAATAGAAAATAGAAAACTACTGTAAAAGGTAATTTTAATAACTAGGTTTGCCACATAAAGTTGAAAATCTCTTATTAGTCCTACATTCCTCTGAAACATCACCATTGTGAATTCTGTTTTAACACTGGAAATAAGTCATTATTTACAGTATTAAGAAATTTATTTATTTGGGTGATAACCTTAAGTTCAGACCAAATTTACTAGGTGAGAGGGTGGCAGCTGCCACAAGGAGGAAGTCCCTATGTGAGATATTTTTGGTGTAATAACTATTAATATAAAATACTTGCATTTTCAATCATTTTGCAAAGATATAGTTATCAATCTGCTTTCCCTGTCTCCTGCTGAGTGCTAGAAACTATTTTATTTTGACAACAGTTTTGTACCTTAGAGTAACTTCTTTTAGTTCCTAAGATTTGGTTTCTGTCCCAAGCCAAAACCAAAAACACCCGGTAGTTTCACATTTGAGCTGCAGCAGGAAGATGTAATCGCGGATGTGGGCTCCAGCACGCTGTTGTACAGGAGAACAGCTCTGGCGGCAGAGCCTCCGCCATGAATCCAGAAGAACAGATTGTAACGTGGCTTATTTCACTAGGAGTCTTAAATTCCCCTAAGAAAATAGTGGATGATCCAGAGGGGTTCCTGAAAACTTCTCTGAAAGATGGAACTGTGCTTTGCAAGCTCATGAATCGGCTTCTTCCGGGGTCTGCAGAAAAGGTAACAGTCTCTGATGTATTTCCCTGCACTGAGACAGAGCCCAGTGAAACCCTGCCCTGGGCATTCTGGGGCTTAGTTACGCCAGTGAGAGGAGCAAGGAGCTTCAGAGAGAGGTGTTTTAAGTTTCTAACTGAGAGCCAAGTATGATTGTAGCTTTGGTTCTTTGATTTTGTTTCTATATCCAGAAAAAAGCCCTGCAAGGTTGCAGTTGACTCACCCATGTTCAGTCAGTAGCAGGAAATACCTGGCCTACCAGAGATCAGAATATCTTGATTTTAAATAGAAGGATTTGCAGTGTGTCAGTATTTACATCAATATAATTAATTGCAACTGTAAATATATTCACTCTTTCAGAACTCTTACTGAGAATGCTTTGTTAGTCAGGAAATACACTGGAGAAGCAGATTGGAACAGGAATAAGCAAATATTGCACCTGTGCCGTTTGGTCTGTCCCAAGACCAGCAAATCCCTTGGTACTGAAGCCATGTGAATGCCCCCTGTTATAGTTTGACAAGGCATGTATTCACAGTCCAGAAGTGTGATAAGAATCTGAAGGAGAAAGAAAAGGGAAGGAGTCTAATGAGAGATAGGAACTGGCAACACAGAAGTTTTTAAAAAAGCAGCTACACAACAGGTTCTCCACCCCATTTAAAAGGAGCCTTTCATTGTGCAGAAATCAGTTTTGGTAGCTCCTTATCTTTTTCTTGTGGTGGTTTGGGGCAGCATGTTGTTAAAGGTCATCAATTTCCCACTGTCGGTTCGGGCACTGTCATATGCTGGCATTCAAAACAAGATGCCGACAGTTTCTATGTGTGCATCACTTCCTCCAGTGGCTTTCTTCCTGCTTCAACAGCTTGCCTGCCACCCCCACCCGCCCCCTGAAGAAGCTTCCCTAATTCAGTATAAAAGGCACATGTCAATATTCATGCAGGCCTTCTCAGTACAGGCAATGCAATGAGATCAGTGGATTTTCTTTCTTTAGTATTGCCTGGAGCCTAAAAATGAAGCTGATTGCATCAGTAATATTCAAGAGTTCTTGAAAGGCTGCACACTTCTGAAAGTGGAGGTAAGTCAACTTAGATCCTTTCTTTTATTGTAACATGCCAGTTTGATCAGCCTTCTCAAAGGAAGCCAGTTATCAGAGGGAAAAAGTTGGTATCAATTCATCATCTTTTGTATTAATAGCATAAATCAGAGCATGGATGATTTAATGTTCAGTCTGGGTAATTTGGACACAGTGTATTAACTGTGATCTTAACAGATTCTCATCTTCTAAGACAAAGCATGCAGCAATAACAGGAGATCTGTCTAAACAGACTTCAACCTGGACCTGATCATAATTCTTTTTTTTCATTATTAGAAGGAATTGCATGTTTTAGCCCTGCTTTAATGGAAAGGTGAAGTATTCTTAATACTGCAGTATTTTTTCATCCCCTGCAACTATTGTGTAAGATTCTGCCACACACATATTAATATTGTTCCTTACACAAAAAAAAAAAAAAAAAAAAAATTGTTCCTTACACACACACACACACACAAAAAAAAAAAAAAAAAAGTCCTAATGAAGTCAAAAGATACCTTTATTGTGGCTGTTCCTGATCCTATCTGTGTAGATTATTATGCTTAACCATAGCTCATATTTGCAAGATCGGGGTCTAAATTAATCACTTCAGAGTTCTATTAATTTTGCCATCAAATTTCAAATTTGTTACTATCTAAAGACTTTTGTGTCACACTTAAATTCCTACAGTAAAAAAAAAAAAAGAAACCTGTAACCGTCTTGTTTGAAATATGCTCAAGATTGTGGGAAAAAAATTCTGAAGACAAGTCTCCCAGAAACAGGGACAGAATCCTTGGGCATTATACAGAATACTCATGCACCACAGTGAAAAAAGTCAAACCCACAGTAGCTCTGTTCCTGCATTTTTTCCTTTGAGGGTCTAAACAAGAAAAGGGCCCTTCTCTTTAGAGCTTTTTAGCTAAGCAGCATGAAAATGTGCTTATTCCAGAACTGTCTCCCTGG